TCTGGGTGTTTACCCGGAATGTCCTGTTCTGAGCTTGTGTTTTCTGAGAAGACTGAAGACAAGTGCTTCTCAAGATAATTGATCAAGTTCTCTCTCATGTAAGAAGTCTGTTCTGAAGTCAGCAGATGTCCAGATATTTTGAGGTGAGGGGAAAGTACAAAAACAAAAAAGGTGGTTAAATTACCTAGTCTTAGGATTTTTTTTTGTTGAAATGCTGAAGAATTTACACACATGTGTGTGCATGTTATGTGTATAAGAGAATGAATAATCACTAGTAGGGTGTTCAGTTAATTGAACACAGAGGCCATTAGAGGAGGCTCTAATGTCGTGGTGGCCTAAGTATGCAAACCAAAACCTAAGCCTGTAAATGCCTCACGGTTAAGAAATGGAAACCTAAGGACAACCAGTCACAAATAACCAACTAGGCTTTGAGAGACAACCAAACAAGAATCTTGCTTTGCTTCTGCCTTTACCCTGTAAGTCTCTCCCCAACTCCTGCCAATGGTGCACTCCTGAACACTTCCGGATTGGTGCCGCTTAGACTGGAATCCATTTCTGTTGAAGTGAACTTCAAAAATTTTAATATTCCTCAGTTTATCTTTTAACAAGAGGTTTGTCTCTGCCAAGAGTGGTTAGCAATTTCCTCAAAGCTCTGTTTATCCTCCGCTAATGTTCACTTACACCTGCTGGAAATGTACCAGGGACTCTACTGTGACACCTAAGATGGACATTCCAGCATACTTTAGAAAAATCAGTCGCTTTTAATTTTTTCATTTCTCTCAAATAACCTAATTTAGGCAAAGTTAATACAGAGAATTGTGGGAGGGCGGTTTGCAAGGCATGAAGGGTAGATATTAATTCTCTTACGGAGCGCTCTTTCTGTCGTTAATACTTCCAAAATGCCAAAGTATTCTAACTGCTATAGGCTCTTATGGGGCCCTGCGGCCACCACTCTGTAGACCCCTGGGTGGTGAAGGCCCCAGTGGTGGTTGATGTGAATCTGCTCTGCTCTCAGCTCAACGTCTGCACGCTACCTTTCTGAACAAAGGCCAGTGCCATCTTGTTTACCATTTCTGTCTTCTCTGAGCGGTGAAATAGAGTGTTAAAAGATTCCACTTAGTCACTTCCTGTAGTTTTACTGTGTATAGAATAAGCAGTATGAGCTATACTGGAGGAGTAGTGAGTGGTAGTCAGATTCAGGGACTTGCTCTTTGGTGTTTCCTGCTGCAGTGAAGAGAGTATGGTCTTTCCCTGGGACACCAGTCCTAGCGGTCACCCTGATTTATGGTTTTAAAAATATGCCGTCTTTGAATCACATTCATTACGGCACACTCTTGGAGGTGGTTTTTCACTAATGATGATGAATTCCTGCTGATCCTAGCACTCTTCTGAGTCCTTTTGTGTGCCCAAGATCTTTCATTCGCAAGACAAATGGCTCATTCAGGGACAGTCTGCACAGAAATGAGAGAAGTCAACTGGATGATAGAAATACTGTGCGAGTATTTTTTAAACCTAAGCTGAGTTACACGGTTTTTGTTTTTTGGGGGTTGAGGTTTTTTTTTAACTTGTTAATATGTGGGGGGAAAGTATAAAACTTAATAAGAAAAGTATAAAAGTCATCATATTTAGTTTTGCTTTTAATTAATTATGCTATTGAAAAGAATATAATTACAGGAAATTGAGAATGGCCCAGAAAATTCAAGATAAGTCTCTGAATTCTGACTTCTTTCTGAACTTCCAGTGTGTATTCCGGCTCCCTCTGGATGACCTTCAGGCATCTCAGATTCAGCCCATCCAGAAGTAAACCCCTTATCTTCTTTCTCAGACCTCCACCTGTGCTCTCGGTCTCTGATGTCCTTCTCAAGTTTGAGTCATCCTGGTCTCTCTTCTCTCCAGCCTCACAGCAAGTCAGCCACCGTGTCCCATTGACTCCTTGCTCCTCCCTCCATTCCAGTGCTCTGTCTTAATTCAAGCCTTCATCATCTCTCCCAAACAAATCTTATTCGGATATGCCTCCTCTAGCCTACAGTGTAAAGTCACAGTCTGGCTTGGCAAACACGGTCCTTCCTGACTTATTCCCACCCAGCTTTAGCCCTCTCCCCACCAGCTACTTTCACACAAAGTCCTTTCACAGTTCCATGGCCACCTCTGAACCGGACGTCCCTGCCTTCTCTACTGGGCAAGCATTGATTCATCATTTAAGACTTAGCAAATGTTGATTTCTTTGGGGGTGTTCCCTGACTCCATCTACTGAGTTAGCTATCGTGTCCCCATAGCTGTCATCCATACCTCTCTTGCATAGGATAATTATCTGCTTGTCTTTCTTGCTCCCTAGAGACCATGGCCTCAGCAAGGGCATGGATTTTGTCTTAATCATATATTTCTAGCAATCAGTGTCTTAATCATATATTTCTAGCAATCAGTCAAATGCCTGGTGACTAGGAGGGTCTCAGATGTTCTCGATGGATGAATGAATGAATGGAACTTAAACCCTGGAATATGGTAATAACATGTTCTAAATAACTGAGGCATTGGGGCTTCCCTGGTGGCGCAGTGGTTGACAGTCCACCTGCCGATGCAGGGGACACGGGTTCGTGCTCCGGTCCGGGAAGATCCCACATGCCGCGGAGCGGCTGGGCCCGTGAACCATGGCCGCTGAGCCTGCGCGTCCGGAGCCTGTCCTCCGCGACGGGAGAGGCCACAACAGTGAGAGGCCTGCATACTGCAAAAAAAAAAAAAAAAAACGGAGGCATTTATAGTCAAACAGGGAATATCTGCAAGAGTACATGCCTTGAGTAGATATTAGGGGATCCATTTTTACCCTTGAACCTGTGCAGTCTTTCTTCTAAGTACCTTCCCTTCTGTACTCCAAGTGCATTACTGGTCTCACTCACCTTCCTCCCACTCCACACACGCATGTATGACCACGTAATTTTCTCTTTAGTGTATCCCCTTTATTAACAGCCTTCTCCGATTGATGGCAGAATTTTGACTTCTGTCACCCAGGTAACTCAGCCTCGACCTTTCCTGTCTTCTCTCCTCAGGCCTGGTGTCAGGACACCACAGTTCTTACTCTTCTAAATGATGCTGATCAAAGAGGTCTACTATTAAAAGCAATGAGACCCATTACTCTTTAACAATCCCGTGATCACCACCCCCACCAGATAGTCTCATCAGGCAGTGGATTCCACCATGGGCATTTTGGGCCAAGTGCCCTGTGCTGCCCGTGCAGCAGGCATCTGGAGGCCCCAGATGATCCCAGCCTCCCTGCAGGCAAAGCCATAGGAAGCCCAGGCAGTGGGGCTGAACCAGTTCTCGGCCAGCCACGGGCAATGCATCCGAGCAGAGCCCTGGGGGTCGGCGGTCAGGGGAAAGTCAGCCCTGGGAGCAGCTCACTGTGACTAGTCTGGCAGCGTTACTTCCTCCAGGTGAGGCAGGAGAGAGGAACTGCACGCGCTCAAGGGCAGCGCGAGCTTAGCTTAAATCCTCCTGTTACAGGCGGGTGCAGCAAATTCATCAGGAGACGTCATGATCAAGTTTGATAAATAAGGAGATTTGGAGTTGCGATCTTCTTGAGTTAGAAAATGGCATGTAAAAGCCCCTGCGAAAATCACCCATAGACTGAGGAGTAGGGCTCATTAGTGTTAGAAGATATTTACCACGTAGTAAGTGAAGGGAGTCTGCTTTCTTCCTTTCCTCCATCACACACTTGTTTATTTCTAATGTTTGCAGTTGGGGCACCAGGTGTTGCTCTTCTGTGGGGATTCTTCTATTAGTCTTTGACATTCCTTGGACACCTGGAAGATTTGGAAGAGCTTTGATGTCCTTTTTTAGAATAGAGCCTTGGGAATCACTTTAGAAAGATTTACGTTAAGTAGAGCATTACCATCCTTAAGAAGCTCATTTTGACTGTGCCTTCCTAACTAAATATTTAGGAGTTCAGGTTTAATCGTACGGTTCATTCAGTGCTGTAATTTCCTTAATCCCGTGCCTACTAGATCAATAACTGCTTAAGCAAGATTGAATCTTGCAGATGGTTGACCTCCGCCTCTCACATCCACTACTAAGAGCCCATCCCTTTCCCTGTCTACGTTTGTTCACCACCCTTCAACATTTGATCATGGACGTAGCGCCTCCGCTGGAAGCCACAGAAGTGCTAAATTAAGTCAAAGTGTTTAGAGTTAGAACTTCCAGGGTGTCGGGAGCCAGAGGGAGCAGAGCCTTATGAAAGTTAAAATGGAGTAACAGAGAATGTTATGTGGCCATGATGAACTGCGAAGGACGCCATATGGTGTTGAAATAAGATCTGCATGCGGTGCTGCTGGTTGGGTGAGCCTTGGTCTGTCTTGAGGTGAAGGCAGTGGCTCCCGTTTTCTGCCAGAGGGCTCGAGGGCTGGCTATAATGGGTGCAACAGGGGGAGAAAAGGGGACCAAGGGGTAAAAATGGCCTTGAGACTGAAGGGAGATATGACACAACTACTCATTGCCCCAGCTTGGAACTTAGACACGGTAATGTCTTCAGCAGGCTGCACTGGGGTCCTTGAGATGGAGACCAAAAGCTAAAAAGAGATGTGTTTGGCTCTTCCTCATTCAGCCACTGCCCCCGCCCCCCGGGCTTCACTTCTAAGGCCCCAATCCAGGCATTACTTGATCTGTATATCTATATTTGTGTGTCAACACCAGTGCCTGTATATCTATAGATCTAGGTGTATAGATGTACCAAGTCATATTTTTAGACAAGAGGTAACAAATGCTTGGAAGCAGATGTCCATGAACTTTTCCCAGAACTTGTTTTAACTTAAAGTTATGGAGACAGACATGAAGGGAGACCTCCCCAACCTTGCTACCATGTAAGTACAAAAAGGCACAAATTGGATGGATATTGATGATGTTATTTCTGCTGCGACATCATCCATAGACTCCTAGTGTCTTTGCTTTGCTTCCCTATAGTGATCACAACATAAATTACTTGTCTTGTTTGACTTCCTTGTTCACCAAAGTTGAGCAGATTGTGGCCGTTTTCAACGCTTCTACCAGACAAAAAGCTTGGGACCATTTCTCGAAAGCTCAGCGCAAGAACATAGACATTTGGCGAAAGCATTCTGAGGTTGGTGATTTTATTATTACTTTTTTAACCACCATCACACAGCTGGATTGGCAGGGAATAGTGTGGCTGCAGCCATGATGGTTTTTGTTACAGTGGGCAGTCATCCTGCCCTCACTGTCAGCTCCAGATCCAGCTCAGATTTGCTCCTTATCCAGAAAAGCAGCTGACTTAATGCTTAGAGGACAGAGTGCTTTTCTCCCCTGCAGAGGGAGACAAGCATCTCTCCCATTCATAGTAAAGAGCTCAGAAATAAGCTAAGACACTTTGCCTAATCACTGTGCAAAACAAGAAAAACAGTGTAACGTAAAATAGAAAACTAGTTTTTAAGTTACTGAGTTTCTTTTCAGTGTTCTACAGCATGATGGTGACGGTTTGCTCTTTGGCTAGAAATGGCAAGTATGCCTTTCATCCACATCTTCTCATCCTAAGCAATGTCTTCGTCCCCTGTGCTAGCCAGCAGGTCCTATCAGACCTCTCCCCAGAGCAGATTTCCTCAGGGAAGTGAATGTCCAGGCTAGCCCTGTCCACCCTTCTGCATCAATGCATGTGTGAAGTGTGAGTATCTACCCCAAGGCAAGAGTTCAGAACTTAACCTTCGCTGCCACCTAGAAGGACCAGATTGTGTCATTAGTCATTGGTGGTCCAGCTGTTATTTTTAACTCCTCAGTGTAGTGTACGCTTTGAACCTGTAATTTAAAAGTAAGTATACTGTCTTTGCTTCTTCCTTTTTTTTTTTTTTAATGAGAGAATGTTTTTCATTTGGATGCCTCTCCGCCTCTAGCGTGTTAATATTAAAGTTCTCTAAATGATAATCCCCTCTTTCCAAATCCCAAACTTATAGAAGGTAAGGTTTATTAATTTAATGATTTTGGCTCACACTTGTAAAATAAGTGTTTTATGTAGAGTTTGAGGAACCACAAAGTACTGCAGTATCAATCATTTGGGTAGCATTTTAAGTGCCCATTAACTAATGCTAAATTACAGTTGAATACCAATGGCACTTGATGTAGCATCCATATGCATACCAAGTGAATTCTTTATTATCACTGTTATTATGGTGAGTACTGAATGACTGCACAATAATGGGACACTTAAAAGGCTAGTGCAGTTTATTATTAAGAAGGACATTTTTTATTTTGTTCACAAATACCGAGAAGGTGCTTGGTGACTGATGCAGGAGGTGGGATTTCTCTTTTATTCTTCGGGGGCCAGAAAACCAAAGGATGCTTACCCAGTGCTCTCCCAGACACTGACTTGAGCCCCATGTCAAGGATGATTTTCATGAGGAAAGAGTCCCGAAAATCAGTGATGAAATATATGAATTGAGGGTTCTGAAACACTAATTGGAATCCATAAACTATGATTCAGATTTGGGAGTGATCTGCCTGTGAACTGTTTATTTATTTATTTTTTTTTGGCTTCACATAAAACTAGACATGATTAAAAGAAACATTAAGAGAAGGGCAGGTGGCATGATGCTGAATAAACCCGGGCATAAAAAAGACTGTCGTTAATCTGGGAGTGGCGGCAACTATCCGTTACTGATCTAAATCACTCTTCCTGCCACGTCGTATCCTGTTCCCCCAGCCCTGCCTCCCCCGTGCAGGACCATCCCCTTCCTTGCTGAACAGGACATGCGAAGGCTTCCAGCCTTGTCCCAAGGAAGCCTGCTTGCTTTGCTCCCTACTGGGAGGTAGAAAGGGACACAGCCCAGAAAGATGCTTCTGTAAAGGGTCTTTGTGTCTCCCTGCCACTCCCACCACCACCTCTTCTGATATAGTAGGAAATAGAATTCTAAGTTACCTTTGATTTTCTCTCCTACATGTTGCCCTATTGATTAAATACCAGTTGGCAATTTAACATTGTGGATGATTTCTCAGTTGCATATGAGCTTGGTAATTGGCTTGATTTTTCCATGTTCCTGTGAACAGCATCTGTTAATTATCTGCAGCACCTTTACAGATTTATTAGAGTGTACAAGTGATTTACTGCTGAAC